TACTTACATTTTTTAATTGATAAATTATAAAAAGCAAAAACTGACTTTTTACTTGCATCACCTATCTGTGTAACTAGCTTTGACCTTGAGACTACTTTTCGAGGTTATTTGAAGTGTTCTTTTTAAATAGGAACCCCTATTTTTTATTACATATTCTTATAGCTTACCTCGAGAGCTTTCCAAAACGCTACAATTTTTGAGTTTTTAAGTTGCAATATTTTGACATAAATTACAAAATATTTGCATGGTAAACAAAGCGTCGTAGTTGGTTCGTTGAATGCTTTCGTCGAATAAACTGGTATCAAGTGCCTGTTAATGATCATGTTCAATCATTAAAACGGAGGATAGTGCAGGCGTGTAACGAAATTACAGACGCACAATGTCAGCGAGCCACTCTTTTTTTTATTTTTATTATTAATTTTATTGGAGTCTGTTGAGCTTTTTTCATGTACAAAGTTGACAAATCGAATTGTCCGAAATTCGCGCATGCCACATTGCACTAAATCTATTCTCAAAACTGATACCTGTAATTTGCTGAATTGATGCACTTAAAAATAAGGGTATTTTGGTGTTGGGATTTTCATCTGAAAATGATCTCAGGAATTTGTCATTAGCGGGTGGTGCGTTAGGGGTATACAAATACGCTACGCGAGAGGGAACGCGCTAAAAGCCACATTTGTGCGCTTTAGGATTAATAAAATGAAGAATTCGATCGCGGGGTGCCGAGAGAGAGAGAGATTGCGGAGTTAAAAATATTAATCTGAAATGCGGCGGCTGTAGGCGGACGCGATACCCCTCGCGCGATATTTCTTTTCCCGCGTCGCCAACTCCCGCAGTGACGCACGGCTGTTTCTGGCGTCTGACAAACGGGATACCCCGTGACCGGTTTTTACAAACGGCATAATCGGCCTGTCGGCCACCGCTACCACTACCGTCGCCGACGCAGTAGATAGGGTGCCGGATAGCGAGTCCGGACGCTGAAAGGGCGCAAATGACCTCGGTTTGCCACACCCACGGGGAGAATTATCATTTTAAATTTGTAAATGTACACGCCGCGGCTATTAGGAGGAGAGACGCGATTCTCGCTGGAGTAACGCTCGAGCCCGAAGATGCTGCAGCGTCGGAACGAGGGAAAAGATGATGGCTCTGGCCATTATTATGATAATACCGCCGCTCCTTGGCGAAGCTTCTCTTCTCCACGTCTGCTCGCGTCTCCTCTCAGGGCGCATATACACACGGTGTACGTGTTGTCCGCTTTCCTCTTCCCGCCTGCGCTTCCTTTGCCACCCATAATACAGTAGATCACCCATAATACACAAAGGCCTCGTTTGATAATAGTATGTACGTATGTAAGATTAAAAGCAGAAAATAAGAAAGGAAACATAAGAACGGTATTGATAGTGTGGTGCGATTTAAAATATATTAAATCAAGAACATCATGTGGTTATCTGAATAACCAAATAAATTCACTAGCTACAAAGACTACATTTGTGGTTTATGCCGAAACTAGTCTTAATTCACATTTCTAATTACCTCAGCTGCAATTACCCCGCGGTGCAGCAAGGATTTTGTTTTTTGTTATATCAATTATTGTAGTTTGAAGCCAAATAATTCTCTGCAATGCTGCGCAACGTTGCTGCAATATTGCAATCTTGCAATGTAATATTTCTGCAATCTTCCTGCAATCTTTCTGTGCTGTGTGGAAAGTGACTGGAGGTTTATTAAAATTTTTATAACGTAAACTTTCGGCATGCAAAGGAAATGTTAATAATTTCAGATAAACTTTACCAAAAAGATGCAACAGAATTGTAGTTTTGACACTTTTTTCAGGGATCCATTTAAAATTCCGTTGCAAAAACTATACTTTCTGTTACTTATAAATTTAAGATATAAATAATTAAGAATAATATACGAAGAAATAGCATACAATTAAATTTCGATTGACTTGAAATTTTTTATGGAACACATACATCTATATACGTGAGATCAAATATTTTCTTAATGCTCCATTTCTTGTCGCGTCATTTTACGAGAGGGTTTTAGCCATATTTCGCGCCGCTCGATTGATCAGAGCAAGTATAATTTCAGGGTGAAGGCGATTATAAACTGTGCCCGCGGGACAGGGTGCTCTTCATCTCGACGCTGCACGGAGGATAGAAGATACGAATTTTCGATACAGAAAATTGACTAATTGTAAGGATAAATGTAATCCATCCAAGCATTGTCAACTTTTGTAATATGTATCTATGTAAAATATTTTATATTTCAAACCGTTGCATTTTAAATGCGACATGAGAAAATTAAGTACTTTCTTTTGCAAAGTTTATATCAGTATCAAGTAATTGTTTTATTTCATCACAATCATCGGTCAAAACTTGCAAACTCATTTCATTATAATTGAAATGTTTGTGGAGAAAGTTGTAATCTTTATTCTGAAGGGCCAGAACTTGTATGCAAGTTTTGCCTTGAAGAAACGATACTTATCACTAGTTGCCTTGAGATAAATTCATGTCTCATAAATTGTATTGCTATCGGAATGGAATATTTTCATACTCAAACTTCTTAGCATATCTTCTTGTACATATGATGTGACAAATCCTGAAATCCTTGGTTCTTTGCTTGATAGATGAATGCTCTAACATTGAACTTTACAGTGCTCTATAATTATAATGTTACATTATGAAAAATAATTGGGTTGCTTCGCAAAGATTTCTTTAGTAAAATCAATATTTGTATTTTACAAAAAGTATAAATTTGTTCTCGGACAAGCGTTCGGCCTACACACCTAAGAATACACATTTAGTTCGGTGTTCCATCTGATACCCAATGAATATGCGACTGATTTTCTTTGCGTTTTACCTTAACAATTTGACTACCACCGGGTTCACTTGTTATTTATTTTCATGTATTTCTATTTTCCCACTTGACTTCTCCCTACATTAATAAACCAGCTGCTAGTTGGGTGTAATTGTCTTTCTTATTGTCAATTTGTACTTTAATACCAGATACTATTCAGTTTACATGGTAACTCGTAAACTATCATATTGATCTGTCAAGTCATCACGTTTGTGTGCGCGAGTTAATTGAAACTTTTAAATTGCACCAATTAGTGATATATCAGTCGACTTTATTTTATAATCACGCGTGAATTGCATGTTCCCCTTGTTGGTTTCGCGTTATCATTTTTTTGTAAACGTGAGATATTTATTCCAACATGACGTTTATCAGATTCGCGTATGATGCAATTCGATGGATATTTAATTAAAAGCGAAAATTGCCCAAGTTTGAAAAAAATCTGTTTTTGATAAATTGAGATATTTGTAAACGAATAAGGTAAAATACATTTTTTGCGTACTTTATATCACATAAAGTATTTGAACTGTGAAATTATTTTCCGGTCAACGTTTGTAATTTCATTGGCACTTGCCTTTCAAAGCTACGTCTATTCTTTTTCTAGTCTCCTAGCTGTGAACACAGTCATTACATAGTGTATATAAATATAAGAGATACACCAATATTTATATACATTACAGGCTTGCATAGTTTTACGCTCATTACCTCGAAATTGTCTAACAACACGAGGTAGCACGCACTTCTCTTTTGTTGAAAGGAAAGAGCGATGAAAAATCGCTAGAAAAATCTTGTCAATTGCGAGATGGCTGTGTTTTATGTCGGCACACATGTTTGGACATGTTTGGTGCCTCTAGAAATTTCAATCACAGATCTGCAGCTTTTAACGGTAATCTTGAATGTACAATGCAAATCTGTATTACCGTAATGTATTACGTTGCTTCAACTTTATGTATGTTTGCACATAATCGAGAGCCTAATTAAAAATCCAAGACAATGTTATACTTTTCTTTAACGATTAGCGAAAGCTATTCCGACGTTGCTTGTAATTAGAGAAATACTTGCTATTTTAAAAGAACCAGAGTGCGTGCAATAATACATCTTTTGTTAAAAATTATACAAATATTAGCACGAGCATATTAATATTTTACGTGCATCGTTTTACAATATTTTTGTTTCACAAAGCGTGAGGTATCTTTGATACAGTCGATCGCCTCGTGTGCTCTGTAAATCTCAAGTGATGAAGGCAAGTGGCTTCTAATTAAAGCGAACGGGGGAAAGGGGAGGAGAAAGTCTCGTTAGTATATATCAAACTCGTAGTTAGTTGACGTATCTATGAAATAGATTTCACGACACCGGAACCAATCAATCGCCGGCGGATCGATGGGATCCACCACTGTGCCGTATAATAATCTAGCGATATACAATGGCGCCAATTAATCACGCGCATGAGCCGCGCGGAAAATCGGGAAGGGGAGGAGGGAAAGATCCTAACGAGCGTCGATCTCTCTCTCTCTCTCTGCGTACTTTTCGATCCTTTCGCGTGCGTGCGCGCGTGCACGCGTGCGGTCGCATGTGGGCGAGTATGCGAAACGCATCCGCCTATCAACGGAGGCCTGAGTGTGTCGCAATCGCTAATGGCCTGGCGGGGTTGGATGGTCCAGTGATTAATTGTGTCACCCGTGATTACATTACGGACGCTGCGGATCCACTATATTATATACGGTTATACGTGCGTGTAGCGGGCGGATTGCGCGTTACGTACGTGCCGCGCGATGCGCCGCGACGCGACGCACGAGGAAACGCGCTTGTAACAAGTCGGCTGCGACAGGGATGGCGGTGGAAACGGCGAACCGTCCGCTAATCCGCAATTGCAAGGTACACCTCGCGACCAGATGACGCATGGCGAAGAAATGCCTTGCTAATGCACCACGACCGGCTCGCGCGAATATCACGGGGCTTCTCGTATTTACTCGCCGGTCCCTGATGCTTGTCTGAAAGCACCCCGCGTATTTCATAGTCCATAATCTCTACGCGTAGCTGCATACTTCCGGGGTGGTTCGTGAGTGGCGTGTGAAACGGGAGGGCAGGAGGAGGAATTCCTTATTTAAATGTGAAAATCTTTATGGAAGAATGTTTCTATGTTGCGCGTAATGGAGAAGAAAGATCCTTTCTCGAACTAAGCTTTCAAGACTGCTGTAAATGTGGATAATTTTTATTCTTCGTTTAACTCCCCCGAAGGGGGGCGGAATCTTCACGCATACATTTTTCCACCTACATGTGGTGGGGGGGAGTGACTTATATGCGGGTGGAAAAATGTCCCTTCGGGAGGGCTCCACTTCGTTAAGATATAACCCTACCCACACTAACTCGAAACTGAGATAATTTTGTATACGTATCGTCTACATTGATACGCTTGAAAAAACTTTAATTGTGTTCACAATTCATTAAAAATAAAATATTCAATAAGTAATTTTTATTAAAATGTGTGACTATGACATTGTCGACTACAATATAGACAGATTGCTTGAATTAGTTGACATTTTTAAAAATAATATATATTTTAAGGCGAGGAAAATAACATCGAACGCGATATCCATGTGTTCACTAAAAAGATATTGAAGAAACGTGTTTAGTTAAAGTGTTAACGATGTATACGTGTAATTTCAAGCTTATCTCAAAGTTAAAAAACGGCATTGTACAACATGCATTTCGCAATATTCTTCTATAAGGGTTTGTCAGGCATAGATAAAGAAGTAATTTTATAAGATAGTTAAAAAAATCCTAGTGCACGATCTCTATGTCGACACGTTGATTATATCCAAATTGTGAACTCTATAGCATAAAAAGTAATAAAAAAGAGGCTCCGACGCACTCGGCAAATGCGTTTTTCTGATCAATTGTTTGAACTCCATTCCCTAAAACTATCCAAAGAAATATATTTCATCTTTCTCCTATATATTGAATTGAAATCCACATATCTCGCGTATCGAGTTTAAATATTTGTATCGCTCCGTCTACACCGATGGAAATCAGACACGTGCACAGACTCGCGGGGAATTAGACTCGAGGGCGAAAGGTCTGGATTCTCGCAAAGATGAAATCGGCATCGCCGTAGTATTAAAGTTTCGCGACGTCTCTAACAGTTGTTCCACTTTTAAACGCAGGTATAATTTCTGTTATCTCCAACTGGCGCGCGCGACGCCGCGAAATATAAAATAATAAAGGGGTACGCGACGAAAACGGGAACGGGACGGGACGGCGGGAACTTTGGCCATTATGTCGAAACAGTTTGGCGCTAACGCGTCTTCAACTTTTAACGGCTCGCCCTCGTATCCTCGTATTTCGTATCAGCTTTTCGCTATTTCTTGCAATTTAAGCAGCCGAATCTCGCGCCGCCGATCACAGTTTCAGGTGGAATACCTGAATCGAAATGTCGCTTTAAACTGTCAAGGCTGAGACAAAATCCAGAATTGGCGAAATATCTCTTTCTTCTCTCTGTCAGCGGTAATTACGCAGTACTTAGTGTCGTGTAATTACATTTAACCTACGGCACCCTCGCGCGAGCGCTACTATATTTATTTCAGTTTACCGCCACCCGGCCATTTGGCTACTAATCCTCTTAGTTTCTTCCTATCTGGCGCGCCGGTACGCGGCTTTTGTATTTCGATTCCAGCACGTACACCACGATTAAGCACCACATTTGTAAACGTACCAAAATATATTTCTTACCTACCAAGTACTGCAAAATTTAAATGCTTACATATTTAAAGAAGAACCGTCTTATAATAATGTCTTGTTATAATCACGACGTTATACATTATTGTTGTTTTAACGAATGCATTCAAGTAGCATTTATATCTTTGCGATAAAAGCGGCCACTTGAAAATCGCAAACTCGCCGTTCAAGGATTCGAACGGGGACGAGGCAAAGAGCCACGGTAAGGCACGGTAGTAGGTCACCGTGATAGATCGAGCGGGATTCGCTCGTAAGAACGAATAATCTTGCACGAATAACACCTGCCGGCTTGAGCTTGGCTACGAGCCCAAAATCATTTCGACAGAATCGAGTCCTATTCCCAACTGGCCTCCCATTTTCGCATTCTCCTTTCACCTACACTCGTTCGTCGTTGCTGTTACCGATCCGCCCCCTTTTTTTTGTAAAAATGTCTCCGAGACGTGGACCATCAGCATAAACTGAGTCGTTTTATGAGCCGTAGCCAAGTAGACACTATCGCGTTACATTTTCCTCAAGCGAGACGCCTGCACTGTTCCTCGCTCCGCGATTTGTGCTGCTGATCATCGCCCCGACCGACCGCGTTAAGGGTTTCAACGGCGACCCTTTCTACGGCACCTTTTTTGCCAAGTTACCTCTTTCTTATTCTGGAGATCTGAGAAAAGCGTGAAAAACATTTTCTTATGAAAAAAATGTTTGCGAATGGCCGACAGTAATGAGCTCAGCACAATTGTAAAGTGGCTTAACCAAAAAAAAGACACATATTTTCTTACGTGTATATTTAAATGTGGATCTGACCAAGGAATTAAAAATTTAATAAGCGAATTTTATATTACTAACACTTTTGTAAGAGTTTACTTGAGAAGTAGTGTAGTGTTCTTAATTTCATAAAACTATTCTAACTACCTTTTTACGCATTTTATCCGAGTTCATTTAGGCAGTGATAAAATTTGAAGTATGATAGTGTGAAATTTAATATTTGTTACATTCTGTCTCTTAGTTTGCAATGTTTTTTCAATTAAATGAGATCGAAAGGGTTAATTTTCAGCAGTGATATGAGAATGATGCGCGATGTAGTATCGATTTACGGATAAACATTACATGTCGCTAAAAAAGGCGTGGTTAAGAGTACAATATCTCGTGGAATCATTTGACCAGTAGGTTTACGGGAGTAGCCGGTCATAAAAAGCCTGACACATAGCTCGTAAAACCGACTTAATTCGTCCCATAAAGGGTAACGCCTTTGTCAAGACTAGCTCGCGACTAACGCTCGTTTTTCCTTCCGTTCGCATATGCTCTACACGTCTCGATCATTATTAAATTCCATCGATCTCCCGCATCAATTAATTAAGATATACTTTTATTAATTCACATCTTGTAGCTTACTCTCTTTCTATTTTTAATTACGACAACAGAAAGCAGACTCCGCCTAGTTTGCTTTACTTGTGAAAATGTTGTCAAGTGTTGACATCTTCTTCAAATATACTTGTCTTATTTATATTTCCTAAATTTATTTATATATAATAATTTACGCGAGTTTGTATACAAGTACAATTTTATTATTTGCGAACGTATAATAAGTTGAACTTGATTAATTTGTAATTTACCTTTTATTATTTATTTTTATGTTTACTTTTATTTATTACGATCAAATACTATTTGCATAATTATCTCACCAATATTAAATTGTATCGAGGAAGGCTTGTTAAAACCGAAACGTTTAATTAGTCATCAATTATTGAAGAATACAAAATAAAATGCTTCAATAATTTGTGTGGCGTCATTTTTTTCTTGCGAAGAATATCGTGCAATGTGGACGTATGGTGCATTCCTGGGCGAACGCACGCAACAATCAGCTATTTTCACTCCTCATGTGGTACATGTAGACATATTTGACAGCGACACAGGGGTAAGAGCAAACGGTGCGCAGAACCTGTGCGCTTAGAAAGTCGACGATGGAAGAAAAGATGGGATAATGGAGACGGGGGAGAAGGGGAGCGAAGTAGAAGAGAAGGAATTTTCTTGCCCTAATATCTTCCGATCTCCCGTCGAATGCACAACCCTAGCAAATTGGAAGGAGTGTGTGCACCCTCGCGGGCATGACGGTCCGGAGTGTATGTTAAGGGCGACGGCAGCGGAGGACGGGGATGGGGCGGATGACGGTGGATTGCACAATGCACGAGATTTCGTCCAGTCCATCGGGAGTCCCGTCGCGTCCCCACGGGCGGCTATTAGGGCGCGGGGTTTTCGCGGAGGGATTTCCTCCGCAGGATGGCAGGATAGCCTGACGACGCGTCGGGGGACGGGGGCAAGGATGGCAGATAATTTGTCCAGCGTCCCTTCCGTCACCCCTTCTGCCCCGTTCTGCCCCTTCTGCCCTTTCTTCTGCCCCTTCGTCGACGTTCGTCGATGCCCGAGAGAAGCAGGGGACAAGCCTGCGCCGCTGACCCGAATCTCAACTAGGTATCTCTATGTCTATTTTAGTTATTTACTCGTAACGGGCACACAGCCCTGGGTAATGTGCGCCAATTGTATATAATTGTGCAGTAAATACGTACCCAATCGTTGGACATGTAAGATACCGTTCGTATTTTAACTTGAAGTTTTCTCTATGTAGAAATGTATTTCTTCGTTTCATAAATGGAAGAGATAGAGATGCGAAATTTGCATTCTTTATTCCTTTTGAAATTTCTAGTATAGTCGTCTCGTATAAATAAATAATTCAACGTGTGTATCTCCGGAAATAAAACGTTTATATATGTGCGCCACGTATTGCGTTTTGTCTCTAATATATCGTACATAACTGTTGGTAGTTCTGATATAATACTTGTTCAAGTTTTTACTTTTTCATAGAGAAAGCTTTGTTGTCGCGAACAAACTTTTTCCAGTTTTCTTTGCCAATGTATTTAGAATGTTTCGAAACATCATATTTCTAAAAAGTGTCGGTACGTATGTATATATCACTCAAGTATTGTTGGTAGCTGGTGAGAATCGGTGAGAAGATGAAGAGATCGGTCATCACTAAAGGACAAATCAACGTTGTCACTATAACGACAAATAAATGTCAATTGTTTCGTTAAGATAAATAGAGAAAGGTGCAAATGGTAAGTTTCCTCAATTTGAAATTGCTCCCGCGGAATTTTAATTCGCACACAAAGCTTCCTTTATGAGGAAGCCACGTGCAAGTTTCTATTATAGTTAGGCCCAATCTCGTCCGGAAGTTGTGCCTCTGTGCGCGCGCTATCGTCAACAATTAAAATACCGCCAAAGCTAAACTGAATAATCACCGCTTTATAAAACTGGCGCGAATTGAGGAAAAATGGACCTGATTAGAGGATCTCTAATTTTCTCGTTACAGCGAAGAGAAAGTATAGCCGATTTCCAATTAACACTTTTAAGGAAACAGTGATCAACTAAAGCTTATACTGATGATCGTACGGCTGTCAGTACGTTTCTCTTACCGTATTTTCACATGCTCTGCGAGCGATCATAAATAACTGTCAGAGTGAGTATACACGAAATCCAGGATGCATTTAAGCTATCAATTTTCTTCATTATATCACGCGAGTTTATCATACCTCGACACCAAGTGTGAAGATATCTTGTTAGTTTTGCATCAACATGAGACCGAAATCATGTATACAGCGTATTGAATAATACATTTGCTGTATTGAATCGTATGTGAGAAGAAACAGAGGGAGAGAGAACATATTGAATAACTTTACACTCGACGCTTTGAAAATATATTAAAAATTTTATTTGCAAAAAAAATCAATTAATTTACGGTACATGTTCTCTTTAACAATTTTCTGTAAAAAGTAGTGGGGAATTTATAAACTGGATAATGCTTGCAGCTAGCTTCGTACTAAATGCGGTTACGCTGTATTTGTATTATGTTGTTCATGCTTTCGTTTAACGCATCAATTCCGACTTTCGCTATTTATGTTAAAAATAACGCACGGTACTTGAACCACGAAGGGTTCAAGTGTCATAGTGAGCATCGTTCAAGTTGCAAACTAAATGCTGAAAAGTAATTAGGCAAAGTACACTTTTATTTCTGATAAAATTTTATTTTTTAAAGCAAGATGAAGGAAAAAAGTAATATAATATTATCTGTACTCTCTAAAATTTGTGGAGTG